GTAGGATATTTTGTCCAAACAACACAAAAGGGACTGCACAACAGCATAATCCTAAATGTATATACATCTTAACAATGGAACTTCAAAATAAATGAAGAGGGCTGGGGATTTAGTTCAGTGGCACCATGCCTGCCTCACAAGCACAAGGTCGTGAGTTCCATCCCTGGTACCAAAATAGATAAATAAAATAAAATAAAAATACATGAAGAAAAAAATAAACAGAACTGTAAAGTAAAATAGATAAATCCAACATTCTTTAGACTTTGATAGTTGTCTCTCAGTAATCAATAAAATAAGCAGAATGAAAATTAGTACATATACAGATGACTTAAACAGCACTATCAAGGAACTTGACCCAATTAGTATTTATAGAAAACGCAACTCAACAAAAGGAAATGTAAACATTTTTTCAAGTGCATATAGAAAATCTAATACATTAAGTTATATTCTGGACCATAAGTCTTGGGCTGGGGGAACAGGTCGGTGACAGAGTGCCTGTCTATCATGCATAAGGCTGTGGGTTCATTTCCCAGCACCATACATACACACAAACACATACCACACACACAAAAGTTTCATTAGATTTAAAAGAGTTGAAATCATAAAAAGCATGTTTTTTTCTTGTTAGCCATAGTTGTACATGCCTACAGTCTAGGTACTCAGGAGGGTGAAGTTAGAGGGTTGCTTGAATCCAAGAGTTTGTGCCAGCCTGGGCAACAGAGGGAGATCCCCATCTTAAAAAAAAAAAAGCCCTCTGGGAAAAAATCAGAAACTAAAATTCAACAACAAAAGCACATCTAGAAAATCTCTGAGTACTTAGAAATTAAGCAATGTCCCTTCAAATAACCCACATATCAAAGAGAAAGCTAAGAGGGAAACTGAAATAGTTCCCATGAAATGAAAATGAAAACACAGTATCAAGACATGTGGAACCAGTTAAAGTAGTGTATATAGGAGGATGCATCACATTAAATGCTTACATTAGAAAAGAAGGAAGGCCTCAAGTCAGTGATCTAAGCTTCTAGTTAAGAAACTAAGAAAAAAAAGGAACAAATTAAACTAAAAGCATAAGGAAGGAAGTTATAAAGATAAGAGCAGAGACAACAACAATTTATAACAGAAAAATCAATAAAATCAAAACTTCTTTCTTTGAAAATATTAATAGATGAGATGAACTTCTACTCAAACTGAAATGAAAGACAGAATACACAAATTACCAATAATAAGAATGAAGGATCTTGGGCCGGGGATTTAGCTCAGTGGTTCCACCACCTGTCTCGCAAGCGCAAGGACCTGAGTTCGATCCCCAGTACCAAAACAAAACAAAACAAAACAAGAATGAAGGATCCTACAGGCGAGAGACAGGAAGGAGAAGAGGAGGAGGAGAGGAAAAGCAAGAGGAAGAGGAAGAAGAGAAAGAAGGGAAGGGAAAGGAAGAGAAGAGAAAGAGAGGGAGGAGGAAAAGGAAATATGAATAATTCTGTACCTACAAATTCAGCAATTTAGAAAAAATGGACAAATTCCTTAAAACACAAGCTACTAAAAGTTACATAAGGGCCCAGGATTTAGCTCAGTGGTTCCACCGCCTGCTTCGCAAGCTCAAGGACCCGAGTTCAATCCCTGGTACCCAAAAAAAAGTTATATAAAAAGAAAAATAGCCTGAGTAGTCCTTTATCTATTAATAAAATTAGTTACTAGTTAAGGACCTTCCAACAAGCTGGGAAGGGTGAGTATGAGTGTCTCAGAGCCCCTAACACACCTCCCCTTAGAAAGTAAAGGTAAGGTCCCTGGGATCACTTGAGAGACAGACTAGGAAGTGATGGAGTCCAGGGCTCATGATGTGGAACTCCAGGCATTTCCTGGCCCTTTGAGAGGAAGCTGTGACTGAGGAAAGGGTTGAGCAGTAGGAACTGGACCTGGGTAGACTTCTGTAGAAGTAGGCATAAAGAAACCCTTTGAGGGCGTCTTGGCTGGGAAGGCATCTGCACGCCGTGAGTCTTCTCAGTGGCGCTGTGTGGGGCCCATTCCAACAGTGACGCCACAGAATAGAGAAGTGATGCAGCAGGGTACCAAGGAGCTTCCTGACTATAGCTCTGCTGTGGAAACCGGACTCAACCTTTTCAGGATGGCACTGAACCCATAGAATTGTTGGACAATTTCAAAAGCGGAGACAGACTCAAAGGCAAGAGATTGTGGATTTCTGCTAATGAGTTGGTATACAAAAAATTATTTGGAAAAATAAAACAGATTGACTATACATATATCCTGAGTTTATGGAGCATTTCATAATAGATGTTACCACAAATAATACAACTATATGGTGATTTGATACTTTATATCTCTCCAGAATTTAACATGTATAGAATTTTTATTAGTTTTCTATAATCACCACAGCCTTAGTGGTTTAAACAACACAGATTTATTACTTCAGAAGGCTGGAACTAACATGAATCTTACTAGGCTAAAATCAAATCATGGGTAGGGCTGGGTTCTTTACTGGAGACTAGGGGAGAATCCATTTCCTTGCTCATTCAGTCTTTGGCAGAATTGAGTTTCTTGCAGTGCAGAACTCAGATTCCTATTTCTTTTCTTGCTCTCAGTTGAGAACTGTTGCCAGCAGCTAGAGGCTACCTACATTCTTCTTCAAAGCTGGCCTTGAGCCTTCCTAATGCATTCTCTGTAACCTCCTTCTTCCTTTTCCCACTTTTAAAGATTCCTATAATTGGATTCTAGAATCCTTCCCAATAAACCAGGGTCATTTCCCCATTTCAAGGTCCTTACCCTGATTACACCTGAAAATTCCCTTTGGTCATGCCAAGTAATATGTAAACAGGGAAATAGGACACATACGTCTCAGGGAATGAGGCTTTTAAAATATTGTCTTTAGATGGAGGGGTTGAAGGGAGGGCAGGGGAAGGGGGAAAAATAAGAACCAAGAGAGATTATGTAAAGGTGCAAATTTCCAATGATGAATGTCATTATATTGTATACCTAAAATGTACCAATGATTAGAATGAATAATTGATAATGCAAAATAGGAAGCAAAGGTCCAAAGGGGTAGGGGTAGGGAAAGGAAAAATGATGAGAAATGGAAAAAATGGAAACAAAATCTTCGTAAATAGGGAAGGGTGGAGGGCATGAAGGGAGGGCCGGGGAATGGGGAAAAAAACAAGAACCAAGATGCATCATGTAAAGGTACAAGTTCCCAATGAGAAATGTAAATTGTTGTATACCTAAAATGTACCAATAAAAGAATTAAATATATATATATAGTCTTTTTAAAAACCCCAATGAACAAATGGTTATTTAACATGATTTGTATAGACCTAACACTCTTAAAGAGCAGAGGAATCTTTTTTCACTTTTATGTTTAAAATACAGGCTTCCCTGGTGAGGATGTAGAAAAAAGGAAAGTCTTCTACACTGTTGGTGAGAATGTAAATTAGTAGAGCCATTACGGAAAACAGTATAGAGGTTCCTCATAAAATTAAAAATAGAACTACCATATGATCCACTAATCCCACTACTGGGTATATATCCAAAAGAGATGAAATCAGTAAATTAAAGAGACATCTGCACTTCCATGTTTGTTGAAGTATTACTCACAGTAGCCAAAATATGAAATCAACTAAAGTTTTTATTTTTATTAATACATAGTTGGCATAAATGATTACATTCATAGCAAGGAGTTGGTACATGTATATAACACATCTTAATTCTTTTTATGTCCCCTTCCTGTCTCCTCTAGCCCTTCTCCATCCCTGTCTTGGCCCCTGCCCATTTGCAAAAGATCTATCTTCTTGTTTGCTATTATATATTTTTTATTTTGCTCTTTAATTTACTTATACATTGGGTTTTGTTTTTCATATAAGAGATACCATGCAATATTTAAGATCATCTAATTTATTTCACTTAATATTGTAGTCTCAAAGTGCATCCATTTTCCTACAAATGACTCAAATATATCCATCTTTATAGAAGAGAAGTAGTCCATTGTATATAAATACTACATTTTATCCATTCATCTGTTGATGGACATATAGTCCATCTCCAAGATTTAGCTATTATGAGTTGCGCTGCCATAAACATGGGTATACATGTATCACTGTGATATGATGTTTTAATTCTTTTGGGAAGAAACTTAGAAGAGGAATAGCTAGGTCAAATGGAATTTCTATTTTTAGTGTTTTGAGGACCTTCTATAGTGATTTCCAGAGTACTTGTACTAGGTGACATTCCCACCAACAATGTAGAAGGTTCTGTTTTTCCCTGCAGCCTTGCCAGCATTTGTTCTTACTTGATTTCTGTATGATAGCAAATCTTTTTGGGGTAGAATGGAATTTAGCGTTAGTTTTAATTGGCAGTTTTTTCATGGCCAAAGATGTTGAACATTTTTTCTTGCTTTATTGGGCATTTGTACTTCATTTGAGAGGTACCTATTCATTTCAGTTGTCCACTTTCTAAAACTGAGTCTTTTATTTTGGGATGGTCTATTTTTTTTTTACTTCCTTGTATATTTTAGACACTACTACTCTGAGGAGTGGCTGACAAAATTTTTTTCTATTTTGTAGATTGTCTCTTCACTCTATTATTTCTTTTCTATGCATAGGAAATGTACTTGATATAATTTGATTTGTTGATTCTTGATTGTCTTTTGGGGGGGGGTGTACCAGGGATCGAACTCAAGACCTTGTACTTCTGAGGTAGGCAGCAGAACCACTGAGCTAAATCTCTGGCCCTTATGTCTTGTGCAAGTGGGGTTCTGTTCAGAAAGTTTTTGCTTATGCCTATGTCTTCAAGAATTTTACCTATTTTATCTTCCAGCAGATTAAATATTTTCATTCTAATATTTAGGTCTTTGATCTATTTTGATTTTAGTTTAGTGTGTGGTAAGAGACATGGGTCGCTATTCAACCTTCTAAATGTGTACAGACAGTTTCGTGAGTCCTATTTGTTAAAGAGGCTATCTTTCCTCCAGGACTTGGAATTGAGATACCTAGAAAAGAACTTGGTAAGGAGAAAAGAAATAGATCTCCAGGAATCAAGAAAAAAGCCAACAGGAAAACTAGAAACTATAAACTGAAGACAGCAGAGAAAAGAACAAAGCCATCTGGAATGTTAACTGTGGCTCCTGGGGAGTAGGTACTGTCTCTGCAAACACAAGGTAAGGTTAGAGAGGGTAGAGAGCCCCAGAGAGAAACAATAGACAAACAGTGCTAGCCCCAAGAAAAGCCCAGTTATTGTAAACTGTAAATGCAATGTAGGGTTTTACTCTGAAAGTGATTCCTTCCTCATGGCGGGCTAGATTTAGAGAAAAAATTCATTTCAGCATTTGTCATGCTTGGGAGTGATATAATCAAAAGCCATTTGGAAAAGGAGTTTATTGTTTACTGGGACTCAGAAGTCACAGGACAACTTCACTTCAGGGTCTTTGAGGTTACCCTACCACAGTGACTAGGCAGGAGGCAGCCAAAATAGACAGTCATAGAGAAGCAGGCTAGTCACAGATCCCCTGAGTTTAAACAGCTATGAGCTCAGATTATGAAGGTCACAGTGGTACCCTCTTTATGATGAGAAACCAGGTTACTCCTGTGTTTTTCTGAAGGGGCTGGGTCTGAAAATGCTGACATTAAGTCTAGTGGTCACTTGGCTTTCTCACTCCCTACTTCCGACACAAAGCTCACCGGTCCATTTGCTTTTCCAGTCGGCCAACACAATCAAATATGTCTTGGACTGGTCAGTTCACATATCCTAGCGGGTAGAGAGGTCTCCAGAGTAAGGATGGTACCTGACTAGCACACATAGGCAATAAAGCCAGCCAGAGATAGCAGTGACTTGGGGCACACAGAAGGGCACAAACACTAAAAGCTGCTAGAGTGAATACAGCTCTAAGACAAAAACCAGGAGGAAAAGTGAAGCAGGACTCAGCATGCACATAGGAAGTGGGCATGGAAACAAATAGGCCCTATTTGTGACTCACTATTCCCCATTCATATTTGGTGATTTACCACTCACAAACACACACTTGGAGAAAAAGTTTTTTACTTTTTCATGGGGGGGGGGTCTTTTCCCCTTTCACATTTTTTTCTTGTATTTTTGTTGTTTACCTAATTCTATTTTCTTTTATCCTTTAATTGGAGTTTTTAATCTCACTTTTCTCTCATTTTCCTTTTCAAATTCTTTCATTTCCTCCTTCCTTCACCCCAATGTTTTTATTACTATTAAGCCTTACCTTTAGTTATTGTTGCATTCTATTGTTAAGTGGTATAACTTTGCTTTTAGTAGATATTTGCTGTATGTCATTATTTGGTTTGTCATTGTGTCTAATTACATTGGTTCTTATGGTAATACAATAACTGGCTGACTCATTATTATTGCTTTTTTCTACTGTCATTGCTGGCATAGTTGTTGCTTTTAATTGGTTTTTAGTATGTTCCACTATCCGATTTGTCTTTGTCAATTTTACTGTAGTTCATTTTCTCCTCTCTGAATGATCCTGGGGATCAAGTTCCCAAAAGACAGGAGGGCACTAGGAAGACCATCAAATATTACACTGAACAGGCTGAAGAAAGGTATAAACTCCAAAGCATAATCAAACCCAAGAACAAATCATAGGGAGACAGAATCTGGAGATCTCCACAGTAGTAACAGTTTCTCTATCCTAACTGATCTTCAACACAGTGTGAAAAAAACAGACATGAGAAAGCAAGGGAATATGTCCCCCAAAGCTTTTAACTCCCCAAAAGGTGATTTCACAGACACTGAAGTAGAGGAAACTATAAGCAAAGAACTCAAAAATTAAATGATAAAAATGTTTGAAGAGATTAAGAGAAAAAACACAAGCATATGCATAAATGTTTAATAAACTCAGAGAATTTAAAGATAAAGGATTTTACCAATGAAATGTCTGACAATCTTAAAAAAACAATAAAAACAACTCACTTAAGCAAGACATGACCACTTCAGAAAAGAATTAAAGTATAAAAATAAAGCAAGCACAGATAGATATGAAAAATTCAAGGGAAAAACGAGTAGACTTGACTAATGTGAGGATACAATGTCAGACATAGAGGACAGGGTGGATACTGTAGATCATAAGCTCAATGATACCCTAAAAATGTCAAGACATCATGCAAGCTGGATACAACAGCCACACATTCACTCAAAAAACAAAGCAAAAAGTTCAGAATTACAGGAATAAAGAAAAAGCTAGAAGATGCATCTATAAGTATAAAAATGTATTCACTGAAATAGCGGAAAAATTTCCAAGTCTAGGGGGAAAATTCAATATCCAAGTACAAGAGGCTAACACAGAACCCCAAATAGCCACAATTGGAAAAGAACCTCTCCATGACACATCATAACCAAAATTGCAGAAATTCAACAAAAGAGAAAACCAAAAGCTTGTTAAGAGAAAAACGACCAAGAAACTTACAAAGGCAAGCCCATCAGAATAACTGTGGATTTCTCAAAATAACTATGGATTTTTTTTTAATGCCAGAAGAGCTTGGAGCAAAGGTTTTTAAGTCCTAAAAGAAAACAACTGTCAACCCAGACTTTTATATCCTGCAAAAATAACCTTAAAAATTGATGAAGAAGACTTCCCATGACAAAGAAATACATGGCCACTAAACCAGAATTGCAGAAAATACATACGGGAACTTTAGATAAAGACATGGAAGCAACCAGCACCAAAGAGTCAAAAGGAAAGTAAACATCTCAGGGAGCAGTTAAAGTGAAAAAAAATTAAAGAAATAAGCACTGGAAAAATAATGTAAAGACAGGATTCAATAAACACATTACAATAATAACTCTCAACATTAATGGTCCCACTTTCACAATCACAAGACAAGACTGGATGAAAAAATAAATAAATAAAATTCAACCATATACTGCCTACAGGAGAGACACCTCATCCAGAAAGAAGTACATAGGCTGAAAGTGAAAAGATAGAAAATGATACTCTATTCAACTAGAGCCTGAAAAGAAGCAGAAGTAGCTATCTTATTTTCAGACACAGCAGACTTCAAGACAGAACTAATCAGAGGAGACAGCCACTGATAAAGGGAACAATTCAACAGGGAGAGATAACAACTGAAATATTTATGCATTAAATGTTGGCACATCCAACTTCATAAAACAAAAATATTGGAGTTAAAAAGACACAAACACCAATACAATCATAGTGGGGTATTTCAATACCCCACTCTTAAAATTAGGTCAACAAGACCAAACCAAAATATTAGCTTAAACCATACCACTGCATAAATGGACTTAACAGATGTCTACAGTGTTTTACTCAAAAACAAAATACACATTTTTCTCAGCAATACATGGAACTTTTCCAAAAACTGGCCTTATTTTAGGCCCCAAAACTTGTTTAAATAAACACAAAATGGAAATAACTCCCACATACAATTGGATCATAGTAGAATGAAGCTAGAAAACAACAGTAAAATGCAAACACATAGGGATTAAATAATACATTATTGAGTAATCAGTGGATCACAGATGAAATTTAAAGCTCCTAGAATCAAATAATGGAAACACAACATACTGAAACCTATGGGACCCAATAAAAGTAGCTCAAAGAGGAAAGGTTATAATTGTAAATGCACATATAAAAGAATAGATTGAATCCAAATAAATAACTTAATGATACATCTCATGGTCCTAGAAAGACAAGAACAATTCAAATCTGAAATTAAAAGAAGAAATTACAAAGATCAAAATGGTAACTAACAATTGAAACAAAAAATACAAAGGATCAATAAATGCATTGGTTCTTTGAAAAGATAGAAGGGGATCTGGAGATATGGGAGACTGAAGGAGGTGAGGAAGAGAAAAGAATCAAGATGCAATACGTATTCATACTATGTATTGAAAACATATAAGAAAACTGGAAAATAGAAAAAGGTAGCCCATAGACAAATAGCTATGTGAGTAGTGAAGCATCAAGCTGGGCATTTAAGAAAATTCCAGCTTTGACAGACACAGTCCTGGTCTCCATTCATACAAATTGTTCACACAAAAATGGAGACACCAGTTTATGAGTCCAGTGATAACAATAATATAAATGGCACAAACTAAGAACTCAGAGATAGCTAAATTATATCTTGCCTAGACAGGACTATGGAACTACTAGGCAATCAAAAAATAGCTAGGGAATATACAGATGGGACGATGAATGAAAAAAATGCAAATAGTTAATACCAGTGAAGTATATACCTGACTGAACTTAACATGAGCTTTTTGAGAGTTAGCTTCATACCAAGCTACTCACATTTTTCACTTAGTGTAAGTTTTAAAGCCAAGTGGACTGTGTGCTTTTGAGTTTTGACTTAACTGTGTACTGTTTTATTCACACAAACTATTCAGCTTCAGCTATGAAGTGATGCTCAACAATAGGGTTTCTGTATATATATTAATACAAAAATGTATTATACTGGCATAAATTATTTAAAGTACTATGTAAAGCCAGGTGCAGGGGTGAATGCATGTAATACAAGTGCTTGGGATGCTGAGGACTGTGATGAATTCAAGGTCAGCCTAAAGTACATAGCAAGATCCTGTCTCAAACAATGAAATGCAACAAAAAATTACTATCTAACATATTTTACAAATTATTTAGTTGTGTAGCCATTGAACTGAAAGTTCTATGAGAGCAAGAACTGATATGTATTTTGTTGACTAAAACTACACCCTGTAATGGGGCAGGCATTCCAAAAATAGATGAATACTACCAATGTGAAGAGAGTGAAAATGCCACAATTACACACATACACACATCTCCAAAATTAAGACCAGGGCAGATGTTTGTTGACTAAAAGAATTAATGGATATGACCAGATGGTATAGTGATTCAGAAAAATGACAGTACTACACAAAGAGGCAAAAAAAGAAATTTAGAAATATCCGTTTATAAACTTTTTATTTAAAAAATAAAATTATAAACAAAATACAGAAAAATATTGACACCTGTGATAACAAGGAAATGATTTAATCTTTAGGGCAATTTGTTATTCTAGGAGAACAAAATCATGAATTTTATGAAGACATTTTATTGTGCAAAGGAGGAATGTACTATTTAAGATTCATTTATAGCGGGCATTTGGCATTGACAAGAAAAAAGTATTCCTATGTATACATTCAACATTTTGCAGCATATTTACTTCAAGTTACATTTCCAAACATAGGCCAAACTCAGTCTAACACCATCAGAGCTCTCTAAGATATTACCAAAATTGTTCATTTGATATGAGTGGAATATAATTTTTTGAAAATAATTTTATGTTCCTACAAGATCAATTGTATTTTCACCACAACAAATGTTTTCTTCCCAGTTGAAGCCTAACCTCTTCTAGACAGATGAAATACTAACTCAAAGGCAGCAAGTTAGGAAATTATATAATTTCCCCTCCCTCCTTGGAGATATTAAAATTTTCAACGAAAGGACACCAGTTCTGACAAATTACTTTTTCTTTTACAGTAGTTAGGATTTATCAAGTGACTTCTTTTTAGAAGATGGCTAAAGCACTTTCCTCTTTCAGTTGTTACCCAGATCCTCATCAAAATAAAATACAGTAAGAAACCCAAAGTAATTTTCTGAAAACTTTTCTCCATGTTTCCTACACATTTCTCGTATCAACTATCTATTCATTAATAATCTGAAGTTCTTGCTTAGTTTTTCTAAATTACATAAGGTAGCTATCCTAGTTTCCTGATAATCTTCCCATTGCATTTTTAAATTATGACTTTATTAAAATCAAAATAAATTACAAATAACTTCATCTTTGCTACAGTTCACTCAGACATTTACCTTAACTTACTGAAGGTGCAAGATTCTATTGGGCTTGTCTGTCTAGACAAAACATCAGGATTAGAAATTCTCATGCCACCAGAGGATTCCAGACAAATCAGATCTACTCATAAGATATCAATTCTGTCTTAATTATCTCAAATTACATTCATTCTTTTTGTCTATGAAGATAATTAATGACAAAACAGTGGAGATGGATAAATTTCATTTAATGAGAACTTTCTAATTTTCTTCAAGTTGTTACTTCTCCTCCTGTACATAATGGCTGACAGTTGGCAGTAGGTTGCTGAGTTGATATTACTTCTAAGTCAGATTCACGAACAAAAACCACTGCATCACCGCTTACATTTATAAGACACTGTGCCTGGAAGAATAACAAACAGGACAGGTTCAGTTACACTCAATGGTATGCTCTTATGCTTACATTACACAGGTGGCAGCATTGGGTAGGGGTAAAGCACACAGGCTTATAACTCATTAGGAAAGAAAGACAACCCAATAGAAAAAGAAAAGGGTAAGAGGACAATTCACAGGAAAAGAAACTGAAACAGCCCAGGTACATTTGCAAAAATATTCAAGCTCAATATTAATCAGACATAAAGAAATTACAATGACAGTGAAAGACCATTTCATATATATTGGCAAGAATAAAGGCAAAAGTTGGATATTATCAAGTATTAGCAAGGATATGAGGCAACAGGAACACAAGCTGCCAGAGGAAGCACCACCACTTTGGAAAGCAATTTGACAGTATCTCATAAAGCAGAAAATGTACACTTTGTGAGCCACTAATTCTAGTCTCCTATGTTAAACTATTTGTTTTCTGGAGAGAAATCTTGGGACACATATGCAAAAAGGATTAATATGTGGTATTTCACTGCAGCATGTTTACAACACAAAAATACGAAAACCTAAATAACCAAGAGGATGAAACAATACTCATCTGAAGTACTAACAGAAAAGAAGTGATCTGAAGCTACATCAATATGAATAAATCTCATAAATCTCATGATGAATGTGCAGAATGATCTCAATGGAGGGAAACTGGCAATACGTATAAAAACTACAAAGGCATATGCATTGATCTAACAATTCTATTTTAGGAATTTCCCTACAGATATACTCACACTTGTGATAATCACTTACACTTCATTTGTTCTTTGTAATACTGTATGTACTAGAATAAAATTCCTTAAAAACAACCCAAGTGTTCCTCAATAGAGAAAGAGTTAAAGAAATTCTGGTTGACCAAACCATGGAACATTATTTAGTTGCAACAAAGAATGAGGATACTTTTTTGCCCTCAAATGGGACAATCACCAAGAAAAAAAATAAAAGAGTAAGCTAGGGAACAATTTATGTAAAAAGGAGCATAAACATATAATACCTAAACATATCTGCTTGTATTATCTAAAATCTCTCCAACATGTTTCATGCTCTGGAATATCTCTAGAAAGAACAGAAAAACAAACTAACCAGCTAAATAACTTTGGGTGCATGCAGGAAAGAAATCTGCTGAGATGGAGGACAGGAAGAAACATTTCTGTTTACACCCTTTTAATACCCTTTTTGAATTTTGAGTAATGTACTACCCATTCAAAAATATATTAAAAATATTTTAACCAAAAGTAAGGCTATATTTACATACATTTATATTTAAATATAAAAGCATTCACTGGAATGAAATCAAAGATGATCCATTCAGAGGGAAGAGCAAATAGGTCTGCAGAGGCTTCCACTGTATTTTTAATATTTTACTTCCGCAGCTGGGTATTAATGTTAAGCAACTATACCTTTTCTGAGTATATGCAAGATCTCACAATAAAGTAGAAGCGGCAAAGAAAGGCTAAGTGACATGAAGTACAGCATCTGATGTGTGCACCTAAGTGACAAACAGTAACTGACAGTTACGATTTGGGTAGAGGAGGGCTGGCAGTGGGAAGGCCTATAGCAGCTGGAAACAAAGGAATGGGGATATATTCTAGCTTTTCTATTTATATCCTTGTACTGTGCGCTTACATTCTACAAGCCTGTTTTCTCACGTACAACATGCTGCAAAGTGCTAGAAATGAAAACAAAGCACGGTTCATTTGGAGGACTAAACAATGTACTTGAAGAATAGGGCATATAAAAGTTAAGAGCGGTGACAAGGAAGAGACTGAGTCTGAAAAAGTGGAAAGAGGCCAAGTCATGGAACACACGATGTAGAAGCAGCTTAAGTCTTATCCTGTCCTAAGTCATTGAAGAATTTGATATTTACAAGATAACAGTCATAACTTTTATATAGTACTGTACTTACAAGCCATTCAACAGGCACATTATATAATTAACTCATGATTTCCCCAATTCTTATCCCAATATTATAGATGAGGAAACTAAGGCACGGAGAAAAGTTGTTTAAGTTGATTTTGAAGCACGTTAAAGTGCTAATTAAGTTAATGAATAAATCATATAAATCTAACACTGGAAAAAGTGTTAGATTTAAAAATTAGAAGTCTTGATCTCAAATGCAAAGTAATTAAGCCATAAAGGTCCTTCTTAAAACAACTAGAAAAATCATATTACACTAAATAAAATTATTGCAAAGAAGTACACAGCTGAACAAGGTTAATTCCAAGATCTGAGAGGTGCTTTCTTTCCGGTCAGATTATATCAAATTGTTTACAGCAAATACAATCAGGATGTGCCTTCTCTGGTTTCTTGTCTACATCTGCTTTCAAATGACCTCTGCTGAGGTAGTTTCAGCCTCTCCTGACTTTTCTATCTCTCTAATTGATCCTTTCTGGTTCTTTCTGCTTCTCTCTATGCACTTCTGGCCCACTATACACAATCTCCTTGGCTCCAAACCTTAACTATTAGCTGGCACTGAATCTAAAACTTCAATCAAGAAATCTCAGGGATTTCTAGGTATTCTCCAGCTCTCTCAGTCTTCCAGGGTGTTTAACGGGTTCTCTTCCCCTCTAACTTGCCTTAGCCATTGCAAAAATTTATTGGAAAGCTGATAAAGTTTCATGGCATCACTATTTTTCTTCAACAACTATTAACAAAGTACAATACTCTCCAGGTTAAAAAAAATGTATAAATTATCAAGAAAAGTTGAAAAGAGTAGTAAGTAAATGAAGCACCTTTCTGAAGAAACTGATTAAAACTAATGATTTCAAAAGAAAGCTAAAACCATCTTGAATTTCCATGTGTTTTCATGTTGCCTACATCTTTATGGTAGAATTTCACTGGCAATGGAAGATAATTTTTTCCATAAATAATTAAGGATACTAAGAATTGTGATGATCTGTCTTTGGTTACAATTATCTAACTATAAAGCTGGGAACAAAATATATACTTTCATATGTGCATCATACATGTATTCTTCCCCTGTTCAAATGATGAGTAATTAACCTACATTACAGCTTCCTAAGTGCTGTGTTTGCCAAGACATCGATGCCCCCTGCTCTCAGGGCAGTCCCCTGGGTCAGAAGCGTGGGGCCGATTACCACTAGCCACAAGCACTTTCATCCATTTACTATGGCAGGTCACACAAATCATGTGACTTTTCACATGTGTCAAGAGAAGCAGGTCGGGAGCACGGCTTTTCTGATAGCTCGTATCACTGATATCATATTGTTAAAAATCTTTCACAATTTTAAGTACATTACTATCCTAACTCAAAATTGATTTTAAAAACTTTATTATCAAATTTAATCTAGCCCTTCTATTCTCCATTAACAAAATTATATTACCTAATAAAAATAAAGAGGCAGGCTGGCCCCATTATGAGATACTCGTCACCAGTGTGGCAGTCAGATGGAACAGACCACAGTACACACCAAAGGGAGCCTTTAGCTCTCCTCAGCCATCACTTGTGCTACAAATGCCCACCAAGAAAATGGTGGCAACAGTGACTCAGGGATAGAAACTCCAAAGAAAGTTAAGAATAACTCACATCTCATTGGAGATGTGATGCAGCATCTGAGCTACGTGTGACCATGGTTATTTTAAAAAGTCCTTAAGATACATTTTAATTACTTAGAATCAAACAGCTTTAAGAGTAATTTTCTTTTGGACAGGGATGGAGGTGGGTAGCCAAGAAGGTAATTCTCAAATCAGAGCTTTTTAACTGTATCTCACCTGGTTTTTATTTGGATTCTCCATGAAGACACACTGCTTCATGATGTAGGAGACAACAGCATTCCCGCCTAATGCAGCAACATGAGCACGCACCATTGCAAACACTTCAGCAATGAAAGCATGAAGAAAACCACTGACTCCCCCTTCCTAAACAATAATGCACAAAACAATCATATAATACATATGTATGTAAAATCGTACATAAATGTCCAAGAATAAATATTATGACATCCTAAATTATCTTAAACAGGCAATAATTTAAATTTCTGTCATAGTAAGGATTTACTGAATGAACAAATTTTTACTGAACACAGCAATTTACTATTCTTACTTTAAGCTTCTTTAAATGAAGATTAGAGAATTTGTATTTTGCCCAAGATCAGCTATGACCACATAAGTAACACTTACTGCATCTCTTTTGCACATTAAATGCTAATACCTAATTCAACAGGTACACAAAATAAGTATTCCATACATATTTATTGGGGCATAAATCCAGTAGTTTGGGGAACTTTTTCCATGTTCAAAAACAAAACAGAAATCAAAGGCTAGGCAATAGCTGAAAATGCCTTTCAATCTAAATTTTCTATATATTCTACTGGAGTTTGTATAGGAAATGTCTAGCTTTAAAGTGGCAGTTAAGGAAAACTTAAATACAGTGTTATAAAGCCATTTTATTAAATCAAATCTTTCTAAAAGGCCAGCGGATATTATATGTAGTTTTACAAAGGGATATCTTTTTTTTTTTGTAATTAAAGAATTCAAGGAGTTCTTTCAGACTGTTGCCAACTCAATAATAACTCAAAGCATTTTTTTCTTTTACAAATTTCCTCCTACATATTAAATCAAGATATTCTGAAGATTTACAGAAGGTTAATTTTACAAAGAAAAACTGACTAAGAAATAATTCATCAAGCAGTGAATATATTTGGGATATGCTGCCATAAAGTTAAAACTGCCAACTCTTTGTTGAAGGGAAATGTACCAGGAAGCAATATTTTGGGGGATGAGAACATAAATAGTAGCAAAGTATAAGAAGTAACAATTTTATGGATAAGCTGGGTGTGGTGGTATACACTAGAGCCCTATCTGCTAAGAAGGCTGAGGTGGGAGGGTCACTGGAGCCCAGGAATTGGAAAGCAGCCTGGGCAACACAGCCAGACCTTGTCTCCAAAAAAGATAAGTAAATAAATAAATAAAATAAAGTTTTATGGGTTCAAAATAGTGTATTATCTATGTACTATTAAGAGTAATTAGACACACCTCACCGAGGTCCCCAGTTGCGCGGAACACACGCCGAATCACCTCGCTGCAGACAGGCAGGTCTGCCCACACCCTACTGAGGTTCCCAGTCCAACGGAACACACGCCGGGTCTGTGCACGCCCTACCGAGGTCCTGAGTCCCGCGGAAGACGCCGAATCACCTCGCTGCAGACAGGCAGGTCTGCCCACACCCTACCGAGGTTCGCAGTCCAACGGAACACATGCCGAATCAGCCCGCTGCAGACAGGCAGCCACCTGATTCCACAATACAAAGACGAAGAGGACAACAGACCACCAGACCAAGGTACTGAGTCCCACTGTTCCTGGCCCAGAGGTAGGGGCTTCTGAACCGTCGTCCCACTGCTCCTGGTCCAGAGGAAGGGGCTTCCCGGTCACCATCCCTCCCGCTGCTCCCAGCCCAGAGGAAAGAGCTTTTGGGCCACCTTCTGTCCTGCTGCTCCTGGTCCAGAGGAAGGGGCTTCCCGGTCACCATCCCTCCCGCTGCTCCCAGCCCAGAGGAAAGGGCTTTTGGACCACCTTCTGTCTCACTGCTCCTGGCCCAGAGGAAGG